GAGGCTCCGCCGAAGGGCAGAGTCTCGTTCGTGGAGGTTGACCAACCCGATCCCGTTTATACGGGTTCTACGGGCATTTTTTGACAAAGCCTACGAGATCGGGAACCCATGTTAAACTCGCCCTTGTGTCACATGCAACCCTCGTGAGGGGGCTAGATACCGAATCGAGTCGAGCCGATAGTAGTTCACTTTAAACCAGACTGACAGTCATACTAACACCTTCCACATCTTGTATTATTATTTCGTGTAATATACCTTCGTTATTTCTACTCTTGTGTTCGTGTTGTTCTTCCTTGGTCCTAACCTGGACTATAACAATAACCCATTGAGGTTGACAGGCTGTAAAACACATCAGAACAAACCAAACCAAACGCACTAGCAGTGACCAATGAAACTAAAAAAATATCTATAACTCTGCAGCAGGCGTCCTATATCAAAATAATTTGTAATTCCATTAAATAAAAGCTGCATGCTGTTCTTTTTTTAGTGACCAGAAGTAAAAAAAAATGGCCGGTGCAATTAGTGTCATGTAAATTAGCCGACGTGAAGGAATTTAAACAGTTAATTACTTTAATTAATTGCATGAAAAATAAAATAATTAACATCGACTCAGTGTAATTAATTTTAGTCAGTGAAAAGGAACAAGAAAAGATGTAAGGGAATGAGAAAATAATTATTTTCTATCAAATAATAAATACAATGCTAATCAAGGTTGGTATTTAGATATTTTCTAAAGTTTCGAAATGACCTATCTCTATTTCACGTTTATTCCAGTAATTCTCGATTCGGGTAGTTAGTTGATTGATTTTTTTAGCGATATATCAACCTCTATTTAATCCCGTAATCTAAATCTGTACATCTATATATAAAAAAACAGATGATGTCTGTCTGTCTGTGTGATCCTTTTTCACTCGAGATCCATCAAAATGATTTTGACTAAACTTGGCACATATATTGTACAATGTAAGAGATTTTTTTTTACTAGTGGGCCTACCGTAGTGAATGATTGGAGTACATGGCATTATTCTGAATATATTTTATAACAAATGAATGGTCTTCATTTTTTTGTTTTGTACATAGCTACCTGAAAATGGTAAAAAAAAAACTACTTACCGTAAAATATCTGATACAAAGATTGAGATACCGTACTTTTGTTTCTGTTCATCCAGCGTTGTGCAACCAAATGATGTCTGCCTAAACACACCTTTTAAGGATGCTATGAGGGATCTATACTTTTAAGATCAGTCAAAGGTACCGTGAGAATTTCGGCTTACCTGGTAGATTATGGTCACCTAAAATGCATGAAATTTAATCGCTCCCCAAAAAAGTACCTGTGTTTATTTCAAACGCTCACTGAAAATATGTAATTCTTAATCTCTTCAAAATAATTACCTGTGTATAGTACGCCCCCATTTCTTGTAGAAAAAACTGATCATAAAATTCGCTATCCCGGTATATATATATATATATATATATATATATATATATATATATATATATATATATATATAATCATCCACATACAGTCTGTTTCAGCTCCTCAGTGTGTCTAGGCGTCCGATTGCTTCAAGCCTGGATTGAAACCCGACTGATTTGACATCAGAGAAATAATTGCTGACGAGGCTCTGTAGCCTTCATCAGAGAAAAAAAATCTGAAATTATCTTCCACTGTCAACACTTCATGGGACAGCGATCATGGTTAGATTCATTGTCTCCCAAATCTAATAGACCTTGGAAAATGCATCATTCCCCCACCTCAGTGGGAAAATAACTGATAATATATAAAGAGAGTGAGAGAGAGAGACGTTAGAAGAATCTCAAACACGCACAAACATACACACACATCTCAAACACGCACACGGACACTCACACACACACACACACACACACACACACACACACATATCGGCCTGTGCCTTAGAGAAATCCTAGTAAACATGCACAGACCGTTAGATATAACTACAAAGGTGTGTCTAGTTCAAATACTAAGTATCCACTATAACTTTTGAAGTAATAATAATGACACAGTAAAATAAAGCCATTTATTCGTTTATAGTGGACACTGAAGTCAACACCAAGTGGTAAAAATACACTAATATATATATATATATATATATATATGTTTCATATTTAGACGCAATATTCAGGCCATGGTTTATTATTATTTATTAGCCACAATGTCCACTCTTATACTCACACTCTCTGATATTGAGCACTTTTATACGCAAATATAATATACCACAAAACAATATTTTTTATATATATATATATATATATATATATATATATATATATATATATATATAGATAGATAGATAGATAGATATACAATTAGGAAATGGATTAAATTCAACATATTTTTAAAATATTTTGTTTAAACGTTATTTGTTATGGCTATTCATATTCGAGTAGAAGCTCTATTTTGTAATTAACCTGTTTTTTTTTTTTTATACAAACTATATGTACTGGCCTGAATATTCGAGAAATCTTCTCAGAAAGATTCGTTTTGCTTCACCCTAGGTCCTATATGGCCGAACGTTTAGGCAAATGTATGATTTTTAACCTCTTCGAGAAAATTACCTGTTTATAGTGCGACCCCCTATTTTTTTAAGGAGGGGGTGCGTAAAAAATCTGTTCATAAAAAGTCGAACTATACTCGAGTATAAGCCGTATTTTTATTTATTTTTTTTTTTTTGCGAATGTATTATCAATATTTTGGGACAATCACTTTCTTTTACAAATTCAACTATTCAACCTATAGCTGAGGGAGAAGAGACGATATTTACGCGTAAGTCAATGTAACGAACCCGACTGCCATTCGAACTCGGCGCTGTGTTGTATAAATCAGAACGAAGTCTTAATTAGTTGCCAAAACGTACGCCTTTATAGAAATAAAGCTTCAAAATGTTTTCATCAAAACTCAAAGTCTAGTTCAATCTACTCGAGATAAAGACGTCTCGCAGAAAACGTTAAGAACGTACTTAGCGAGACAATGAGAGAAAGACAAAAAGAGACGTGTACAATCTGCACTCTGCAAAATGACAGATTTCTGTTGTTATATTAGCACAGCTATGAACTAAGTGACGCCTTCGGAAGTAAGCTGACGAACAATAGTTGAATCACTTAAAATAATGACAATAAAAAAATCCCATGCAAAAGACTTGTTTATAAACAAGATTATATGCGCAAAACATTATTTATTTACTACAAAACAGCGCAGACAGTGGAAGCTGGCATGTGAAAATAGTGAATCTTCTATGCACTAGAAAATTAAGTCATATAAAATGGTGCTAACTGAATGAGATAGGATTGGAAGAATGAACTTTTAATTTCGAAAGATAGAAGCACATGGAGGCAGAACTCTTATCTATCTCCAATCAGTCTTAGCCAAAATATTTGCGTCCGGAGCCGTGGTTTATGACTTATCGCAGTCAAGCTTCCACGAGGGATGTTCAAGATTCGTGAAAGAGGAACCGTTTCGCCAGCTTTACAGTTCACTCCAGTGGGCGTTACAAGTAGAGAGCCCAATTACTGCTCTTCGATTTCTTCATTTCCAAAGTCTAGTAACAGCCGTCCGGTCTTTTATGTCGAAACCCATGGATAAACCATATCGCTTGAACTGTTTTTCATCGTCCATGATTGTTCGACAATGGTGTCACTTTTTCTATGACGTCATTTTTTCTGCGTCTTAATCCTAACGAACTGCTAGCCCAAGGCACAACGATACAAAATGATCTCAAATTTTAGAAACATCCGTCATATTTACTTACATTATTTACACTCGAACTATCGCCCTCGTCTGCGTTATTATCACTCTACTAATTAATTAATGCCCTTCTCTGTTCAAAGAGTTGCTGCTGAAGCTAATGTTTCTTCCAATTGTTGTCGATAATCCTTTCCATCATAAGATAATGTACTGTTCTTTCCACTACGCTTTGTGCTCACTTGAAACTGATCGATGTCGTGATGAATAAGCCCAGTGGAACGAGGTTTAGGTCATCCCATCTGTATAGGAATGTTTGCCAAATCCGTGTCAATTTCTGATCGCGGTTTTCCGAACATGTCCGTAACGATCCGACAATTAATGTCTAGTATTAAAATTTAGAAAGAAAGAAGGCCAGAGTGCACAGCGGCCGAGAATTTGTGAGAAAAACAACTAAGACATTGAAACTAGTCGAAAAAATAATCGTATGCTAGCAACAACACCTTGTCATCGAAAGTTATACATAAAAAAGGCGGGAAAGTTCAACGACCGAAAAAATATGAGAAAGGCAACAAAGAAAAAGAAAATGGTTGGAATAATCATTGCATAACAGAAACAACGCATCTAAATTCAGAAGAAGAAGGCCAGAGAGTGCAGCGACCGAAATTCTGTGAGGGCATAAAGAAAAGAAATTATTTGAAAGAATAATTTTTCTAGTAGCAACAACATGTCGTCTTTGAAATTCGAGCAAAAATAGCACAAATTATATTGAATTTTTTTTATATCGTAATGATCGTCAATTCAGTGCATCTGAATGGATATGATAAACAGAGTGTGTGTTGAAACTAAAACTAAAATACAAATAAAATACAAATAAAATATAATAAAAACATTTTAAATATAAAAAATTATGTTAAATACAAATAAAAATATTCTAAATGAATGTCTTTCTGATGATGTATCTGAAACAGACCAAGAAAGGTAGAAAGATGAAAGCAGAAAGAAAGAGCACCTGATAAACACGGGACAAATTGAACATAATACATTGTAATGTAATATAGCGTAAGGTAATATAATGTTTTCAACACACTTTTAGCGCTCGTCTTCCGTGGGAAGCATGGGAATGTAATCAATTTCATTAAAAGCAATTACGCGGGAAATCGAAAATCGGAGATGAGAGCAGTTACGATGGAGAAAACATCAACACTAAGTGGAACATTGTTGGGAACGGGAGGATTTTTAATTCCCGCGAGAAAACAAAGAAAGCTGGGGGCGACCCCGCCTCCAAAAAAATAAAATGGACGTTCAAATAGATTTAATTTTTTTTTTCAAATTCCTCACTCATTTTGCAGTCGTGAGTTCAACGGCTAGTCTATCTATCTATTTATCTATAGCGTTTTCGCAAGCGTAGCTTAGAAGTGTCACAGGACCGAATGGATAAGACACCCAGTGAGGATCGAACTCACTACTCTGTCGAAACTGTTCTAGCGAGACAAGCTTGGTAACCACGACACCACGTTGAGGTGCCCAAAAGGTGGCTTTCTAAGCGTAGCTTGGATGTGGCACAAGGCCGAAAGTATGGGGCACCTAGTGAGGATCGAACTCACTATTCAGTCGTAACTGATCTAACGAGGCAAGACTGCTAACATTTACATCACGTCGAAGTGCCCAAAAGGTGGTTTTATAAGCGTAGTTTAGATGTGGCACAAGGCCGAAAGGATAGGGCACTCGGTGAGGATCCAACTCACTTTTCAGGCGTGGTTATTCTGGCGAGACAAGCTTGGTGACCATTACACCACTTCTAATTGCATAATGTGTCTGTCTGTCTGTCTGTCTGTCTGTCTGTCTCTCTCTCTCTCTCTCTATTTATATATATATATATATATATATATATATATATATATATATATCCTGGCCTTACTTTCTATGTTTAACTGACTCTCCCTCCCTTTCTCTGTATCTCTCTCAACCTTTCTTTCATACAGTATTCACGTGTTACTGATATCAGTCCAGACTTCATTATCTCTCTCTCTCTCTCTCTCTCTCTCCCTCCATATCTATCTATCTATCTATCTATCTATCTATCTTTGTGTATGTTTTTTTTTTTTTTTTTAATTTTAGCTCGGCTCTGAGTTATTTGTACTAACAGGTTCATACTTGAGTAATCGAATCCGGACAATTGTAGGCCCTGGACATTTTAGCAGATGTCACAGAGTGCTTTTTCGTGTCTTGTCTTGATAAATTCGCCACAGTCATAGCAAAATTCGCCTGCCGGATTCTTTCAACCTCTTGATGCCATCTTTGAGGAAAGCGTCTATCATCGATGACTTGCCTGCAGTGCTTACCTTTCCCTGTATTCATACTGTCATCTATGTTGCCAGAACGTTCGAGAAATTCTTGAAAATTTTGAAAACTTCTCGAAAGTTCTTGAAATTTCTAGAAAGTTCTAGAAAATTCTCCTTCAGCAACTCAGCGCTGAATCTGTCTGGAATGTAATGGAAAATAGGGTAGTTTCAAAACACCGGTGACCAGATCACAAAAAGCAAAGTTTGAAAGGAATAATAGACATTTCCTTTGCTTTCCAGATAGAAGAAATTATTAGGGAATAAAACTTTCTGATCAAAGACGAAAATGTCAAAAATTTTTAAGTTTTCCATTTCCGTCGCGGTATTTCCTGACGCTCTTGAGATTTTGGCAACTTGTTCTTACTTTGGAAATATAAATTTCTTGCAACTCTGGGTAAAATATTGATAATTGTATCTGGGAAAATCATTGTCATATCCACCAAAAATTATTAATCCAATTTTCATTAGTAAAATAACAGAATCATTTTTACCATGTAAATGTTTCAGCTTTAAAAAGCACACAAAGGGTTGTTAAGTCGTTAAACAATTCTAATTAAATCCATTTATTTTCTCCCATTTTTTTCCTCTTTTATCTTCTACTTCCTTTCTCTTCCTTCCTCTTCTACTTCCTTTCTTTTCTATTTTGTCTCCTTCTCTTTTATTTTTCTTACCTTCTCTTTCTATTTATACGCTTCTTTTTTTATCTGCTATTTATTTTCTTCTTTTCTTTTTTGTACAATAATCCTTCGATTAGTGCAGCTAATGTGATACGCGATAATCGAAAACGCATTAATCGAATGTAATAACTTATAGGAAATGATTTAATTTGTACCTCAAATTTTAGTCTCATTCAAAATTAAGTTCTAACTTGCGTACTTTTTAATTAAAATATAGGTACATATTAGAAGATGCAAAAAAACTTATTCGAAATCCAAAATTCTTTATTGCAATAAAAACGTAAAAATTAAAAGAGGAAATACAGAAATGTTAATTATTTGAAATACAAATATCGTTAATAATACAGTTAAGTAAGAAAAAATCATTATAAACTTAAGTCATAAGATACTGTACGCAAATAGTCAACTACAGATAAGTACACGTTAAAAGATGCCACTAATTTTATGAAAATTTTCCATTTTCGTCGCAGTATTTCTTGGTACTCTTGAGATTTTGACAACCTGCTCTTACTTTTGCAATATGAATTTCTTGCAAGTCCTGTTCTCTTTTAAAAGCGTCTAAGAATTTCCACATTGTGGGATGATGGGATGACACTTGATGCAAAAATCGCTCTACGTGATCCTACAAGGGCGTTAATACTTCTAGGTAAATCGGCATTGACTCTCTCAAAGCAAGACCAGATACGTATTTCAAACATAGGTATTTCAAATAATTATCATTTAGTATAATTGGCCTTTCGATTAATTTTCATTCACACAATTTACAATTCGAATAAATGTTTTTCAAATAATTGTTTTCGAACAATTTTCGCGATACGTAAAAAATATTCTATGTAAAATGCGATGTGTAATATAACGAATGTTATCTATCAGTTTTCCTTTCTTTTTCCTTCCTTTTCTTTCTCTCTCTTTCTCTCTTTTTCTTTCTCTCTGTCAGGCATATACATAATCTCTCCCAAATAATCTATCTATCGATCTATTTATCTATCAGTTTTCCTTTCATCGTGTTCCTTCCCTCTCTCTATTTCTCTCTCTCATGCACATACATTCTGTCTTTCAAACAATCTATGACTCCCTCTTTTCCTTTCATCTTGTGCCTTCCTTAACCTCTCATATTTCTCTACTCCATATACATTCTCTTCCTCTCTCTCTCTCTTTATCTATCAGTTTTCATTTCATCTTGTGCATTCCTTCCCTCTCTATCTTTCTCTCCTCCTTATATATTCCCTTTCTCACCCTCTCTCTCTCTCTCTCTCTCTCTTTCAGTATCTATCTATCTATCTATCAGTTTTCCTTTCTCGTTGTTCCTTACTTTCCTCTCTTTCTCTCTCTCTCTCCGTCGCTCTCTCTACCTCTCTCAATTATCATTGATTATAATTTCTTTTCGATTAATTTTCATTCAAACAATTTACAATTCCAATAATTTTTTTTCGAATAATTCTTTAGGAACAATTAATTTTCTAACAATTTTAACGAGATGGATATTTGCTACGTTAAGTCATGTAAAGTCGAAAGATCCTGGATTCTTTACACAGGTCATTACAACACTATAGTTCAACCGATTCAAGGCAGAAGAACCAATCAAGGTAGAGGCTTAATGAATGAGGCTTTTGAAAGCGCGTAAAAGGAGCGTGTGAAATATTCATATTATGATCATATGTACGAAAGATAACAGTTGATTCTAAATTTGAAAATGTTAAAATAGTAGGCATCACGAAAGCATCCACTCGCGAGCCTACGCCAGAACGTAACATCTTTTGGGAAGAAGCTATCTAACGGGAATGTCCTCCTTAAAAATAGATTATGTGTATTTGTCATGGCTAGTCCGAGATGTGAAGGTCTGAACTGGTAGAACAAAGGATTGTTACTCGTCTAAAACCCTGCCTTGAAAAGAGAGATAGGGTGGCGAGAGGCTAGCAAACGTTTCATCTATGGGTAAGTGGTTGTAAGGCGGGGAATTGTTTATCGTCAATACGGCCGCGTGAAGGCTTTTGAATCTTTCTCAAGGCTAGAAAATGATTGCGCAGCTCCTGCCAGATATGGCACCAACGATCCATGTTTGGCTAGGTCTGATTCTTGAAAAGATAGAGAATGACAGAAATAGTCGGGTACTTTCTGGAGCGGTACAAGGAATTGACCATTTTTTTCAGCATCTTTTGCGATGTCTCGTTTATACGAATTCCACATGATGTCTGCAGTGAGATAGTTCAGTGCTAGGAGCCTCACTATGAATACAGCCGTACGCCATGACTGGAAAAATAATGCCTGCTCTGTAATGAGGAATATTTATTTATTGAAAGTTGCAATCCAGTTTCTACCCTTGTGTGAGCGAGGTTAAATGATAGGTCAGCTGACAAGCTTTGGTCATCTAGGGTTTTAGACATGTTGCCATAAAGCTTGGTACTATCTGCAAATATATTTACTAATTTTCTGAGAATATTCTTAGTCTGATCGTTAATATAAGGTAGAAAAAAGTATGGCCAAGGAGAAGAGTTTGAGGAACGTCTACATTGATCTCATGGGATGCAGAGGAATGGCCATTAACGGTGACCTTCATCAGGAATGGCCATTAACAGAATCCTCCATGACGACTGGCCATTAACAGTGACGTTCTATGTCACAACTGACAATCAAGTTGATAATAAGTTTTCATAAACAGCATCAAAATTCCTGGGTTTTGAACCGTAACCTTTAGTTCTACTGGAGACTATTTTAACTACGAATCAAATTCCTTCAAATAGACTGCGTTTCCTGTTATCGACTTTAATACAACAGGTTTTCAACGTTTGACTTGAATTCTTTTCCTGCTTAACTGCGTTTGAGTCTGATTGAATGAATTTTCATTAGACTTGATAAATTTGAATTATTCCACTTCCTGTCTGTCAATCAATTCCAGTGAGATAAAAATGTAATTGACCAAGAATAATGCGGCAAAAATCGTTCAATTCCTGGCTTCTGAGACATTCATAGCTTAAACATTGTCCATTGAAATCCTCAGGTACTAAAATTAACTTGTAATTATATAAACGTTAGGGAAGGTTGCCATTTATGTTACAGATAATGCATTTCGTTCTGTTATTTCATTCACTATATAATGTACTCATTTATTTTCCTGGATATTGCTTCAAAACTCAGCCAGCACATCACTAAGATGACTCATAGTAACACACACAATGGCCGCTAAACAACCCCAGAATTAAATACATTATTGCTAAAAGGCAGAAAATAACATTGGGTGTCATGTTAAGAATTGGTTGACTTGCATAAATCATCTGTCATATCTCTATCGCTGAAGAGCCTAGTTCCAGGGAACCATGGTAATTAGGCACTTGATGAGGTTTGAACTTGTTAAACTTTGGGGTGGTGGGGTCCAGTCAAATATTCTATCTTAGTGTTTTACTTCTAACCCCTTAGTCTGACCACGCAAGTTATTAATTCAGCTCGGTTAAAATTGGACACCAGTAGAGAGACACCATCGCACCAACTAGAGTAACCTATTCTTGCAAGAGACGATAGGTACCGAACGTATTTTTTATCAGACGAGTTTCAAACAAGGCTACTGTAGAGGAACGCTCAGCTGAGAATCGAACTCATTGCACAATCAAACTGATTCAAGAAACTATTTTGCGAAACATTGCAAGTAATTGTTAAGCATATATGAGTTTGGCAAGGCAATAATGCCACTAAGCCGCAACGGGTTACTTAGTGTGAAAGAATAAGAGGAAAAGAAAAACATTATTAAGGAGAGGGAACAAAAAAACAACAAGAATTAAGAAGACAAAAGTGATATTGCATTGAAATTTTTGAAGATCAAACTTGATTGGACAATAGGAAACTCGAAGTGAGTTCCACAAACGAGAAGTGCAAGCAGAGAAACTACTCTTACTTGTTGGCAAGTGATCCACTTTCGTTATTGTTGTGGCCTTGTTAGGACCAGAAATAAAGACACAAGAGAGGAACTGATTTAAACAAATATACTAATAGAAACAGTAATACAAACATATAAAAATGAGAGTATTACAGCAAGAATGTTCAGTTCGACTGTCAGAGCTAACTGCTGGAAACTTCCCTCTCTCCAAAAGGCAGTACCTGCTCCTATTTATAGCTGGAAGACTCCATGCGTGCGTGGGTGAATTACCATAACAGTTATATTGCTATGTGTCATATGATTCTCTCCGTATGACATAAGAGCAAGAGAGCCTGATGGCGCCCACTCCAGGGTGGTTTTTGATTCAGATTTTTCCTTCTAGACTAGGCCTGCTATTAACACGCAATGATAACAGCAAAAATTTCAATATGAGCAAAGGTAAAAAAAAACAAAAAAAACAGTTGCTGAAGACATTAGGTTTATAATACCCAGAATTTCATACACAGATGTTCTCAAGGACACATGGCACAGTGGATAAAGGTGTTAGTTAGATCCAGTGACAGGGCACAAAGAGTGTGAGAGAACTTTGAGAGGGGAATTAACAGGAGATATGACTGACATCCATTAAACATGGCACGTGACACTAGAACAGTCTACTCCAGTCAGCGAAAAGGGTTCAGTTCGACATTCCAAACATCTGAAGAAGGCCGGAACGTACAAAAGGCCGAAACGTTGTGATAAACATGTCGACAAAGATGAGGACAATAGTCCGAATAATGTAAATAGTGTATTTTGAAATTATTTGAGTTATCCTTTATTATAGAAATTCCAACGCTCTCTTAATCTTCTTCGCTGAGTAAACAACATTTTTTTCCATTTACTTTCAGCATTATATTATTGTCAACTGGGCAACTCCATCGTGGTATAATGGTTAACAAGCTTGCCTCGATAGACCGCTTTCAATTGAGTAGTGTGTTCGTTCCCCACTAGACGCTCTATACTGTGCCACATCTAAACTTAGTTAATTGGTTGGGACAGTTAGACGTGGTATAATAATTAGCAAGCTTGCCTCAATAGACCGCTTTTGACTGAGTAGTGAGATCAGAACTCACTGGATGCTCCATACTTCCGGCTTTGTGCCACATCTAAGTTACTCTACGCAAAGCTCTTTGACCACTTCGACTTGGTGTAATGGTTAGCAAGCTAGTCTCGCTAGATCAACGACTCTAGTCGTGAGTTCGATCCTCACTAGAAGTTCTATGTTTTGGCGTCACATCTAAGCTACGATTAGTAAATAGCTCTTACATTATTGTTAATCATGTTTTTTTTTTATAATTCAGTAATCTGTTTGTAACAGATTATTTACTCTCGACGAAATATACAGAAGGAATGAAAATCTTGTCTTATTATTTTTCTTTTTAGGACTCATGTCCCTTCAGGACGTAGGCGATCATGACTCTCCCCTTCCTCCTATTCCTTGTAGCTCCCAATAAGTTTCCTCCATCTGCCACCTCCACCAGACCACGTATGTCATGCGTTGCTTTCCCTTGTCTCTCTTTCCCTCTATTCGACTTGTGAGTATTAAATTCTCTTCCTGATGATATGTATAAGCTTCCTCCCTGTTTGCATCCTCTCCAAAACCTCATCGTTGATCACACCCTCGGTCCTTGATATCCTTAGCATTCTTCGGTAGAACAACATCACCGTCACCTCGAGGCTCTTCTCCATCTTTGAGGAGACCGTCCAACATTCGCTGCCGTAAAGGAGGACAGATATCACGTAGCAGTTCAGTACTCTTCTCTTTCTTACCAAAGAAATCCTCCTGTCTGCCCAGGTTTTGGAATGCGTTCTTGGTCATCCCAATTTACTAAATAATTCATTTTACTGCATTTCCATAATTAAACTCGATTTAAGTGTTTTCTGAGTCACACGATATGTAATTCTTAGAAAGAATGTATTTTTTATGTATTTTTCTGTCTTACTGTAATGAAATTCGACGGTTTTTTTAAATTCTTTTTATTTTCTGAGTCACGCGAGTCAACGGAAAGACTTGAAGCTTTGGTATACATGTATACTAAATCCTACTATGATACCACTGGCTATAGAAATTGATAGTTATTTCCACTTTTCCAGCTCTGCTTTAATAAAATTTAATGCGATGTATTTATTTTCTAACCTATTTTTATAATATCTGTAAATATATTTGAATGATAAGGTTCTAATCTCTTTTTAAGATCAGGCTCCGAAATGCGACATATAAACCAAATATTATTTCATTTTCTTGCCAAGGAATATATGGTTTTCAAATAGAAAAACAAAATGGTTTTCAACATTTCCAGACTGTTTTTAGTTACAAAACATGTTCCTTTTTCGCATAATTTTCAGCAGTTTTTGTTGCTTCTTCAAAGATCAAAGATTTTTTTTGTGTGTGTGTTTTTTCATTCTCTTATAAAGATTGAAATGCAACAGAAATTTAGGTCTAGAATTTTTACGTTGGCGTTATTCCACTCTTTGGTAGAGGAAATCATTCCATTAGAAATGATTCTTTTTTAATGAGTTTTGGCAGGCGAGATAACGTTGCAGATCTATTCTTTTTTTTTTCTTCTTCTTTTAATATTTACTTAAAGGTCTTTAAAATAGGAAAAACTGCTTTATGAAAAGAAAAAAAAATGTGAGAAAATAAAATATTTACAATATTTTCAGTTCATTCACCCAAAATGTAAAATTGGTTAGACATTCTAGCCAATTTAACACGATACATAATCGGAGATACAAACACGGCATTTCTAATTTTGTTGATTCGTTCATCAGTTGAATGAAAGGTAGCTGAGTTCCAATTCCAATCGGGTTCGTTTGGGAAAGGTATGAATCCACATCTCCTCCTCCAAGCTAGGTGTTAATTAGTAAGACTTTGATGTAATGGAATAACCTGTCACCCCCATGAGTGACTACACCCGCTTAGGCGATCATGTATCTTTCGATATATAACTGACGAGGCAGATTTTTTCTCGCACTAGGTTGCCATCCAAGGCTATAGAACCTGGTCTGTCATGCTATTTACCCATAGCTGAAGGAGAAGAAGGGAATACATAACTTTCCCAAGGGTATTAGCACGAAAGTGAATGTAATGGATGAAACTGGAATTTGAACTCGGCTCTCCGATTCCTCAATCCGAGCCGCTATACATTACTCCACCGTACCTCTTAAGAAAGTATGTCATCCGGAAAAAATTATTTAATTATTCTTTCTTATACTTTCTACAAATTAATTATACCATGTATATTGACAAAATGTAAATATTTAAGATTCCACACAGTTTGGTTTGGTTTGGTTTGTTTAACGGCATATCAACACCTTATGGGTCATTTAATGCCGTAATTTAAATTTCTTGGATGCTTTGTTATTTTTTTGCTAATAAAATCTATTGCTGGTAATGTTTACTATAAAAATGTATTTCTATACTTCCATAGTGTTTTGACCCCAGTTTACTATTTTCCCATTGCTGGGACCCTAACAGGTGCCACCACCCCGGATCAGGGTGGACATGGGAACAACAGCAATTAAGAGATAGGTTTTACGCTTCTCAAAATCTCCCGATCAAAGAACTTGCTGCCGGATGTAGTTTATCGTCATAACCCAGGACGTAAAATTGCACACCGACTTTATAAATTCTGTGGACATGTTACTTCACCATCTTTTAACACCTCACTTGCTTGAGAAATTAGTTTAGAAATATTGATTTCGCATAACAAGCCGTTGTTAGATTATGTAATGCTAATTTTTTTTTATGGGGCAGGCAATAAGGATCGAACCCGTTACTCAGTAGTAATGATAAACCAGACTGGACTTGTTAACCATTACTCCAAACCAATTCGTCCACGGTGACTAAACAATGCTTAAGAACTGACAGGTGATGGTCTCTGTATATTTCTTTACTTTCAAGACAGTTATGGTTAAATTAGTGAACCACCCAGTGAGGATCGAAATTATTACATTAGCCAAGTAATCCATGAGATTAGTTTGCACACCATTGCGCAACGGTAGCTCTCCTACTAAAACTTTTCATATAAGTTGGACTTAACGAAAAGCGGTCTCTATATACATTATTTACAATTTGAAATTTTTTCTCATATTTATTGTTCATATCACAACCTTTCGACCGTTGGGTTCTCCATCAGGTTTTAGTTCTAAATTCGCTGAAGTTTACCTGCTCCGGCAACCATCTGATACAGGCCAGCGGACACACAATGGCCGAACAAAAAAGATGAGGCCAGCAGACACCAGAGGATAATATGGACTTATAATTTGTGAGCAATTGGTTATGAAGAAGTTGGAACTCAACACCGCCAACTCAACACCGCTGACTGAGCGCCGGGACAACTCAGCATTGCGATAACTCAGAACCGAGACAACTTTGAACCAGAAAAAATAACATTTTATAACTGAATAAAAGTAATTTATTAAGGATTAAAACTTTAATTAGTGAATATTTTTCTTCAAATAAGACATTTGAAAAGGAATTATATAAAATATGAACCAGTCTTTTTGTTTGTTTTTTTGTTTTTTTTTTTTTTTTTATTTTTATAATGTAAATTGTTACGTTTCTTTGGACCTGAAAATATTTTTTTTGTTTGTTTAACGGCATATCAAATTCTTTATGGATCATTTAATGCCGTTAAGTCCAACTTATATGAAGAGTTTTGAGGAGGCACGGTGGAGTATTGGATAGCGGCTTGGATTGAGGAATCGGAGAGCCAAGTTCCAATTCCAGTCGAATCCATTACATTCACTTACGTGCTAACACCCTTGGGAAAGGTGTGAATCCTCTTTCTTCTCTCTACAGCTATGGGTAAATAGCAGGATAGACTGGGTTCTATAGCCTTGGATGGCAACTGGTCTAGAAGGAAAACTCTGAATTCAAACCTGCTCTTAGAGGAGGGTGAATGGAGTCTCTCTGAGCTTTGATTGGCAATCCATTTAGTGTTGGTGTCACGATAAAAACACCCTTGATAGCCCTAGCGAAGCATCAAGAATTCAGCTATTTGACAAGATTATGAACTACACCAATCAAAGTATTGGTGAGTTCAATCTCGGCTGAGGCCGCAAGATGATGACGAATGCCGAAATTTAGTTTTCTAGGATGCTTTGAATAATAAAAATATGATATATGTTATTGTGCCTTTAAAATTGAGTATATGGTAGATAATATTCAGCTTTTGTACATTTGTGTGAACATAATTACAAGAGGCAGTGATATGTGCATTTTATATTATTGAAGCTATATTTTGGAATACAGTTTGGTTTCTTTAAGAAATTGTAGGATATTATATGGATTAATGCCATGAAAGAGTTCTTTGATATTGGTTGTTTCGTTGGTTGAATTGTTTAGCAGCATATCAACACCTCTATGGGTTATTTAATGCCGAAATCTAAATAATTGGAACACAATCTAATTTTATTTTTCGATGATGATTAAACGATATCAGTTTCTTTTTGGAGTTGTTAACATTTACAAGCCATCTCGTGCCCCAGTTAACAACTGATTGAAGGTCATTTTCGAGAGCAGCTTCCAGATATATCTCATCTTGTGCTTAATTAGAACTGATCAATTATTAATCGCACTATACACGACCCATAAGAAGTTTATCGCCACACCCAGACTTACTCGTTCTGGGTAAGACGATAAACTACGTCCAACAGCAAGGCCACGAATCAGGAGGTTTTGAGAAGCGTGGAATCACTTCTTAATTGCTGGTGTTCCCAGGTCCACCCTTGATCCGGAGTGGTAGCACCTGTTGGGTCCAGCTATGGGCAAATAATTAACCCCTTAACTGGGGTAAAATACTATGCAAGTATAAAAATAGGTGTTAATACCAGCAACAGTTCTTTTGGAAAAATTATTACCAACAATACGTTTTTGAAGGAAAAAATATTGCCAGCAATACATTTTCTGGGGAAAAAATTATTACCAGCCATACATTTTTCGAAAAATATTGCCAACAATACATTTTCGGAAATAAACATATTACCAGCAATAAAAATCTTAGGTAGATAGATAGATAGATAGATAGATAGATAGATAGATAGATAGATAGATAGATAGATTGATATGAACAGATTGAAAGGAAGAGATTCAGATAGATAGATAGATAGATAGATAGATAGATAGCTATGAACAAATTGAAAGGAAGAGATTCAGATAGATAGATAGATAGATAGATAGATAGATAGATAGATAGATAGATAGGAAATATTAGCAGCAATAAAAGTCTTGTCGGCATTAAATAACCTATTGAGGTTGATATACCATAAAACAAACCAAACCAAACCAATATATACTGAGATAGATAGATAGATAGATAGATAGATAGATAGATAGATAGATAGGAAATATTAGCAGCAATAAAAATATTGTTGGCATTAAATAACCTATTGAGGTTGATATGCCGTAAAACAAAGCAAATCAAACCAATATATACTGAGATAGATAGATAGACAGATAGATAGATAGATAACGAGGGACACACAAACATATAAATTGACAGACGTTTATATATATTTTCCAAAATTGGGAGATTATATATAAAATCAGATAAATTATTTTCAGGAATGAATGATAAAATATTTTAATTCAATTGACGTGCGACTTAAAGATAATTCCGAATATTTTTTGTATTTTTTCTCGCGGGCAGGATAAAGTGGCAGAGAAATAATTTTGTGAGTTGTAGATGGGAAAACTAATTCAATATTCCGAAGCCTTTTAACTTAGAGATCTGTAATTTCTATCCGACTAACTCCCTCGGTTTCTTTTTCCGCTTGGATGATAGTCGATGAAGTTTTCGCTAAAAATTTAAATGGATTTTTTTGTCTTTCTTAATTTTGTACACTTCGTTATTTGTACAATGGACGATTTAGGAAGCAACGGTTCTATAGAATAAAAATCAAGAATCGATAGGAATGGATAAAGAAAAGCCTGGGGCGGTGTTGTTTGCGTTCTTAGAAAATTAGCTTTCTTTAAATTCTAAGTAGATATAAATCATACCTATGGCGCTTTGGCGAAAGTTGAACTATTTTCAAAGTATTTAAATTTTTTTTTTCA